GGAAGCGGGGCGCCTGGGCCAAAGCAGCTGGAGTGCTGCCGGGTTGGTCCGGAGCGGCGCTGCGGGACCAACCGGGCAGCCCCCAGCTGCTCTACCCCAGGCGTCGGCGAGAAAAGCGACAGTGGGGGAGGCACCCCGCACTAGTGGCCCCCCCCCCCCGGTTCGTAACTAGGGGTCCGACATAAGTCGGACCGACGTAACCCGGGGACTGTCTGTATTTGAATGAAAACAAATTATTTGCTTAAGCACTTATCTCTTCCTGGTGCTTACTCCTCACTTGAATTGAACCTGTTTGTGATATTGTATGCCTCTTCAAAGCTACTAATTTTTACAGTATATCCTAGTCTACATAGGTTCTTACACAGCATGCATCACCATATGACCCACAGTGCATTAAGCAATGTGACTAACATTTGTAATATAACAGAGAGGATTATAACTCATAGTAAGAAATACAAAGCAGCCGTAGAAGAAATCTTAAAGACTAATGATTGTTTTCTTGAAAACATTTTTAGAAATAAAAAAGTGACATATAAAAATAGGACTATAAGAAGAATTGCCTGAAAATAATTTTTTTTGGAGCTTCCCAAGGGATTAATGTGTTTGTAATAAAGGTGGATACATATTTTACTTACTATGCTTGATATTCAGTGTTAATTGCAGAGTTAATTAAATAGCTGTAGTTTCTCACGACGGGTATGTCTACACTGCATGGCTATTTTGAAATAAGCTATTTCAGAATAGTTATTCCAAAATAGCTTATTTCAAAATAGCATGTCTATACTGCAGGAAGCCTCAAAATTAGTCCAAGGCAGGCTTCCCAAATGTAGACAGGCTATCTCTATTTAGAGACCCAACTACGTCAGTTGCAGAGCTTATTTCTAAATAGCTTATTTCGAAATTGGGAGCATCTACTCAGCTCTTTTTTCAAAATAGAGCATCTTCCTCTGACTTCCCTTACTCCTCCTACAATGAAGGTTACAGGAGTTGGAGTAAGAAGTCCTTCAGCTTGACAGTATTTTGACATTATTTTGAAATAACTGCCCGTGTGTAGACATGGACTAAGTTATTTCAAAATAACGCTAGTTATCTCGAAATAATGGTGCCATGTAGATGCACCCTAAGATGGCTAAAAGCAAAATACAGGACTATGTAGCACTTTAAAGACTAACAAGATGGTTTATTAGATGATGAGCTTTCGTGGGCCAGACCCACTTCCTCAGATCAAGTAGTGGAAGAAAACAGTCACAACCATATATACCAAAGGATACAATTCTCCTCTACCTACGGTACATCGATGACATCTTTATGATCTGGACACATGGCCAAGAAACACTGGAGATATTCCACAGAGATTTCAACAACCTACACCCCACCATCAACCTCAGCCTGGACCATTCTACACGAGAGATCCACTTCCTGGACACCACCGTACAAATCAACAATGGAAAATTAGACACCACTCTCTACAGAAAACCCACTGACTCATACAGTTACCTACATGCATCCAGCTCCCATCCAGAACACACCACACGATCCATCGTCTATAGCCAAGCCCTTCGATACAACCGCATCTGCTCTAATCCCACTGACAGAGACCAGAAGCTTCAGGATCTCTACCAAGCATTTATAAATCTCAACTACCCACCCGGAGAAATAAAAAAGCAAATTGAAAGAGCCAGACGAATACCTAGAAACCATCTACTTCAAGACAGACCCAAGAAAACCAACAATAGAACACCACTTGTCATCACCTACAACCCCCAACCTGTCCAACACATTATCAATAAACTACAGCCTATACTGGAACAGGATACCATACTCCAAGAGGCTCTGGGAGACAGACCCATAGTCTCCTATAGACAACCACCTAACCTCAAGATGATTCTTACCAACAACCACAGGACATACCACACTAATACCAACCCTGGTACCTTCCCTCGCAACAAACCCCGTTGCCAGCTTTGTCCGCATATTCATTCTGCTGATACCATTATTGGACCTAACCAAGTGAGCATGGAGTTCGGACTAAGGGGGATTTAAAAATGGCGGCGCCCGGGAAGATGCAAATGATGCCCGGGATATTTAAATCCCGGGCTTCATTTGCAACTTCGAATGCCTACAGTAGCCTCCCTAGTTCGAACTAGGGGGCTAGTGTAGACATACCCTTATTGACTTTAATAAGCAGAATAAGGCCACTATTGAGATGTTTAGGCTTAATTACTTCCATCTCTACTTTCTAGGGATCTACAGTGCCAAAGCCTGATTCTTGTATTTAAAGGGACAAAAATAGATCCCAGAAATAGCTCCACAAGACAAATTTAGCCCAAAGCCCAGGACAAATTTAGCCCAAGGACCACAAACACTGAGATTCTAGCTACCACCATGCAGCTGTGTAAGAAAGGGAAAGGCTCCTTTGTACCCACACCTCTTTCTGAGTTTGAAGAGCTGGTGATTGGAAAGGCTGACTTTTTATTTGTAACCTGAGTGAATCTGATATGTCAGTACTTGAGAAGCAATAAAGATGGAACCCCATGATGCCATTTTTATAGTCCAGTTTGAAATATTTGGCATGAAATATATTCAAATGTCCAAAAAAAAAAAGACAATGCAAATATGGTGATAAAATAGGATTTAAGCATAAATATTGAGTCAAAGTTTTAAGTGTACTTACTGGATCCCCCTTTTCTCCTTTTTCAGAAGATTCTCCCTGTGATAGGATACAGTAAATGTTAATACCTACATGGTTATTTTAAATGTTAAATAGTATGTATGTCTGCTTTTGGAAAACTACTCTTCAAAACATTCAGAAAACAAACTAACAGTTATATGTAATTAATACATACAAATAACTTTATAAAATATGTACACTATGAAAGCCCATTTAAAGATTACAATAATTCAATTATAAAAATATGGACATATAAGAAAATGTGATTGTATCCAAGGTCATTTCTTTTATGCCTGGGTCACATATTATGTATTACATGTAATCATGAGCATAAAGCTTTCAAACCTCAGTCCACACATCATCATGCTCCAAATTTCTACACACTGACTTACTAGCATCAGCTACACCTGGGACTTCTTGAAGCCCCACTTGGATAGATGGTTCTACCCCTGGGCACCAACTGCTTGGACAATGGAGCTCCTGACTGGCCCGCTTCCCCTACTTAAAGCAGGCGGAGAAACAGGAAGTTGTCAGTACAATAGGGGGTTTCTTTCTGCTGTTCACTGCTCACCCAGTGCTATATGTTCCTAACTGTCTGCTTTCCTTTCTTGGCCTGATTCCTGGTTCTAGACTGCCATCTCTTCTCATGACCCTGCCCTCCTGATTTCCTAACTCAGTCTAATTCCTGGTCTCAATCTCTCTGCTCTTAAGCTCCTGCCTCTGAACCCTGGGCAGTGTGAGCATCTGGCTTCTCCTTTTATACCAATCAGCTGGCCTGTTATCTATCTATGACCTGGGTCTGATACAGGATCAGATATCAGAAAGTGATGACTGAATTAAGTGATTATATGAGTTAAAATCTCATAAGCAAATCTACTATACAGTTGAGAAAGTTTTCCTGTGAGACTGTCTGTGTGTCTCTCTTTGTTCAAGAACTCCTAAATGGTAAGAGCTAGCACCACCACATTCACTATACATCTCCCTCTTATCCTGACTTAAAGCAGCGTAAGGGTTTGTCTACCAGGAAAATGGGATGTGTCTGCAATGGGATTGCTTTTCAGAAAACAATACAGAAAAGAGACAGAATCACTAGGCAGGTCAAAGGGGCTAGCTGGGGGTGCTCTCCCTTGTCCCAACACAGTCTCAGCTCCGAGCCTCCTACTCCCAAGCACCTCTTAGGGAGGGCAGGCTGAAGATCCTCGCCACCCCTCCTCCCCAGGTCATAGGGGAACATTGCTGTCTGTCCGCCTTCGTTAGGGAGTGAGGGGAACGTGCACAATTTGCTGGGGAGTGCAGAAGGTAGATGAAGGTAGATCTGCCCCAGACACTGGACAGGTGGCAGCTGGAGAGGTGCTTCTCATCTGGCCTCAAGCTGCTGCAGTGAGAGAGGGCTGTTGTAGTCCTCTCTCCCCAGAGCAGCCCGCACACCAAACTCTTCATCACCAACACCACCTCAGAGCAATGATTCAAATGAAGTAGGTACATTTTCATTTTATTTTACAAAAACCAAAAATTATTTGAATTAAGAAGACTTTTAGTAATTTGTACTACACAAATCCACGACTTTTTCAAATTAACAGGCTAAACTAAATTTCTGTTTGCATGACTACTTCTTACAGACCAAGGTTTTAACAATAACTATTTGATTCTCTGATATGCTGGGGCTGAACATTACTCTGATATAAATCACTAGCAAAACTCTTACTGAGTCAATGAATGCATGATTGAGCTTTTTGCTATTTCTAGAAAAATGCATTTTGCATCTTTTCACCAGTAATGGGAAAAAAATTATTTCAGCTGAATCTGCTGTCGGAAAGCTTCAACTAAAACAAAGACATGATTAACTAGCGAAGTATTTTTTCTAAACTTTGATAATGCTAAGAATGCTGGTTTTTTCATCTGAGTATTGAAGATGGAGTTTCTTCACATAAGACACTGTCAGTTTGTGAAACTTGTTGCTAGGGGATGTTATGAATGTCAAAAGTGTAACTGGGTTAAAAAAAGAATTAGATAAGTTCATGGAGGACAGGTCCATCCATGGCATTTAGTCAAGATACTCAAGGATACAATCCCATGTTCTGGGTATCACTAAACCTCTGGGTGCCAGAAACTGCAACTGGATGATAGACTCATAGGGTTGGAAGAGACCTCAGGAGGACATTGAGTCTAATCCTCTACTAAAAGCATGACCAATCCTAACTAAATCATAAGGATGGATCACTCAACAATTGCCCCATTTGGTTCATGACTCACTATGGCCATTCATGTGTTCCTAATTTAAGAGAAAATAAAAGAATATTGTTATTTTACCTCCCTGTTGTGCCTAGTTTTGTGGTGTTTTGGGAATGTGTGCATCTTGAAATCAGAAAACGAAGCACACAAAATGAAGAAGCAAAAGAAAAAGTGAACTAACTTTTTACAAAATGTAAAAAAGTTTAATTTTATATGGCACTTTTTTAGTCAGCAGTTTTTGTCTTGTTTTATGGAAACAGGGCTGCCCATCTCTAAATTATAGACTTTATCCTGACTCATCAGGATCAGAAAGGAAAGCCCCAAAGGACCAGTAATATTGCAATGTCACTTGGCTGGTAAAACAAAAAACAGGACTATGTAGCACTTTAAAGACTAACAAGATGGTTTATTAGATGATGAGCTTTCGTGGGTCAGACCCACTTCCTCAGATCAAATAGTGGAAGAAAATTGTCATAACCATATATACCAAATGATACAATTAAAAAAATGAACACATATGTAAAGGACAAATCAAATTTCAGAACAGAAGGGGGATGGGGGGAGGTAAATGTCTGTGAGCTAATGATATTAGAGGTGATAATTGGGGAAGCTATCTTTGCAATGGGTAAGATAATTAGCATCTTTATTCAAACTTAGGTGTAAAGTGTCGAATTTAAGTATGAATGAGAGTTCAGAGGATTCTATTTCAAGTGTAGTCTTAAAAGACCTTTGAAGCAGAATGCAGTTAATCAAGTCGTTGAGACAATGTCCTTTCTGGCTGAAATGGCAAGAAACTGTTTTTTCTTTGTGATCCTGTCTAATATCTGTTTTGTGGGCAATATCTGCTTATTTGGCTGGTAAGCAGTTCAGCAGAGAAAGCATTCAGAGCCCCCTGCATGTCACAGAGCAGCAGTACCCAGGGTACAATGAGTACATGAAAAACTCAGCAGTTAGTGGAGCACTCTTTCAGAACCTTATCTCTATTCAGCAACTTACTTAAGCACATGCTTAACTGTTAGTTGGATGCCTGCAGTTAGGACACAGTTTCAATACACAAGGGTTAAACCCAGCTTTGCTGCACAGCAGCTGGCCCAGTCCATTAGAAACCCACATGCTCAACAGCCATGGCTACCCTGCAGAGACATCCAGGCCAGGAAACAAAACATAAACCGTTAAGGGCCTAAAGCCTATCTATGGAGGATATTTTTCTTTGGCTCTAGTTCTTCTACTAGGCCTTGACTCTATTTTAAAAGATTTGGCCCAATAAAAATAAAACATAGTTATCTTAGACATCACATCTAAGAATATTGAATTATTATTTACCTTTTCACCTTTTGCACCAGCTAAGCCCATTTCTCCTTGCTGACCCTATTAAGAAAATAATAATAAAAAACCCTCTTGGCAATCTTTGCCCTTTTTTTATTCTGACAAATGAAAAGAATCTTCCCCTGCCAGTGGCTCCTTAAACTGAATGTGGCATTAATTCTTGTTAATCCTTATAACTGAAGTGTGTGATTTAACCAGCCTCAACTGAATTTATTGTCATTTGCTGGAGAACAGGAGGTTCTATATGCTATTCAAAATCAAACACTTGGCAACACCGTGATATATCTGTTTTGTCGTCTCTCTTTTCTCCTCAGACAAACAGTACATGAAATTGGCAAATATATATCCCACCATTAAAATACACAGGTGATTATTGTGAAAAGATTGCATCCAACATTTGACCACTTAATTCGCTATAAACTGCTCGAAAAAAACTTTTGCTATAACAAACCCCGTCACTTTTTTAAAGAGAATTTTTTTAAATACCCATCATTTGCCAGTGCTACTAAAATATTTTTGAGCTCCCCTTGCTGATTCAATAAATAATATTATGTATGCACATTTTCCAAGCACAATGTACATTTCCTTTTGCTCCCCTAAAAACAAAGACAAATATTTTTTCACTTCTAAAAAATGGAGGAAATGAACAAAAGAAGACATGATATTTTCAGAGTTCTAAAAGAATATTACAGTAGAACAAAGTGTCATAGTTTCATCACAAGTCACACATTTTTGGCCCCTGCTGGAGCCAGTCTTTAAAATGACATAGGAATTTCAGCCCTATTTGGAGAAAACCCCTCTGACAGGCTTATTCCCCATCTCCCTGCCTCCTCCCCCTGCCCCGGAGGAAGGGAGGCCAATCTGGAATCAGACAGAGCTCCCTCCCCACCTTTTGGAAATGAATTTTTGAGTAGCTGAGGTAGAGAGGGACCAGCTTACATTTCATAGAGAGCGGGGGAAAGAAGGAGCAGAAAGAGCCCAGCAAGCTTCTTCCTCTCCCCTTGTTAAAAATGGGTAATCGCCCCTGTGTGCCCCCACACCCAACAACACAAGACCTGAGAAGTTGGAGAAGAGCATGAATAAACCCTGAAACTGTTTCCCACACTCAGGACTGGGAAGATAAAGAGGAATACCCTGTATCCTTCCTGCCAGATTTGAGAAATGGAGTGAAGAAGCACCAGAGCTGAAAGAGAAGAGGTGGGGCTGGGGGCCAGAAATGCTGAGAGAGTTGCTAGGCTAGATGACAGACAGATGTGGGACTGTGGAGGCACAGAATTAATTAGAATGTTGTGGTTTGGGGAGAAGGAGGATGATCCACACAATCATGCAGCATTTTATTAAAAAAAATTGTAATTTGATTTCATAGACTCATAGACTTTAAGGTCAGAAGGGACCAGTATGATCATCTAGTCTGACCCCCTGCACAGTACAGGCCACAGAATCTCACCCACCCCTCCTAGAATAATCCTCTCATCTATATCTCAGATATTGAAGCCTTCAAATACTTTGAAGACCACAAGATGCAGAGAATCCTCAAGCTGTGATCTGTACCCCATGCTACAGAGGAAGGCGAAAAACCTCCAGGGCCTCTGCCAATCTACCCTGGAGGAAAATTCCTTCCCGACCCCAAATATGGCGATCCATATTTCATGTGGATCCCTCTGTGAGATCTTCTACAGCAGCTAACTATACATTTGAGAGCAGTGCCAATGGTGGAATTGTCACTCAAATACCAGAGGGTGTTCAAAAACAAAAAGACAGACCATAAAACATGAGATCATCTCTTAAAACCATCTCAGGAGGGAGCTTTGACTCATGATTTTTCAACTTTTGGGATTAGATGTAGTGCATTCCAAAGCAGTGGCGATTAATAATATTGTAATGAACCTACTGACTCATTACTGAGCACTGTGCTAACCTTGAGTTCAACCTCTCTCCAGTACAGTAAAGGAAGCACTGCTCCAAGTCAAACGGGACCTAGCTCAGGAGAGAACAAGAGGCTTATAATGACGGGACTGGCAAGGTGAGGCTGCTTGTGGTGAGAAGCTCAGAGAATTTAGAATAGCTAAGAGCCAGGCTGTAAGGAATCCTGTTGCAGGGGTCCAATGCTAGCTGTGACAGGCAGATAATTATTATCAGACTGCGAACAGCGGGACTCATGGATTGATCTAAAGATGACAAAGAAACATAATTCTGCCTGTGGGATCTCCAGGCCTGTGTATGACTGATTCTTTCAGGGAACAGCCCTGGCCGTAGGCCTCAGGTCGCTGACCTTTATAACACTTGATTCAAACTATCCATAGGGGTTGGATTAGGGATTCTGTGTTAAGCTTCACTCTTTTAATTTGGAATCATTAAAACCTAGATACCTGGGAGAAATGTAGTATTTATTTTTGGCAGCCCTCATAATGCAGTTCTTTGTTATTCATCAGACTATGAGTGTTGATGGGTAGAGCTGAGCAAATAACTGATTTTTCAGTTTAGTGGCAGATAAAAAATAAGTTTGATCTTCATCTGATTATTTAAAAAAATTGTGGTGAATCAAACAAAAAGGTGAAAAATTAGGTTTGGGTGAACAAATATATTTTTTTAAACTAATCATTTCATTTCCAGAAATGAAAAAGGAAAAAAAGTGAAGAAGACAGTGGTGCCACCCCATGTTACAATTTTTAGTATTGTAACTAAGGAAGTGGGTGGTTAAAGTTTAATTCCACTCCCTGCCCAGTGTGGATTTGAACTTAGGTCTTTCACATTATGGAAGCATCTCTTAGCCAGCGGTGATCTCTTTCTCAATCTCTCCTATTGAGCAGTTCCATTGTGTATAAGTAATTAAAACATCATTGGCATCAAATTGGGTCTCAGACACTATAAGAGAGTGCTTTTATCTCTGGACTATAGCATAGTCTTCAACAGCTCTCTCAGTCTCTCCCAGGCTGTGTTCAGACTCAGGGTTTTTTTCGAAAAAAGTAGCCTTTTTTCGAAAAAACTTCACCTGCGTCCAGACTCAAGCCGCGTTCTTTCGAAATTATTTCGAAAGAACGTGGCTTTTCTTTCGATGCCGGTAAACCTCATTTCACAAGGAAGAACGCCTTCTTTCGAAAGCTCCTCTTTCGAAAGAAGGCGTTCTTCAATGTAAGAGGCCGTCTTCGAAAGAGAACATCCAGACTCGCTAGGTGCTCTCTTTCGAAAAAGCGGATTTCTCTTTCGAAAGATCCGCCTGCAGTCTAGACGCGATCTTTCGAAAGAGGCTCTTTCGAAAGATGCTTTGAGGCTTGCAGTCTAGACATTGCCCCAATAAAGCTGTTCCATTTTGTATAAGAGAAAATGAGAGTGACCCATGGCCTGTTTATCAGTGCTCTCATCTACAAGCTACAGAACTACGTTAACTCCATGGCTCTACTGGCTCTTTCATTATTTCTCTTTCTGTCTCATTGGTCACTCGATAATGAGTAGGACGTTTTCCTGTCACCCTCTTATTTGTGGATCCACTGATTGCTGACCAGCCAGATTCTAGAGCCGCAGGTCTTATTGCAAAAGGGGCAGGTGCTGTTGGCTATTGGGGGGACTCTGGACAGGTTTTGCCACTCTTTTCTCCTTCTCCACATCTCATCTGTACTGCAGCACGACCTCTCAAATTGTGCCACCCCATCACAGATTACAGCTCTCCACTGGGGACGATCCTGGGCAAAGTTCTCCCAAGTGTCGACACTGATGCTGCACTTTTTCATATTTGCCTTCAACATGTCCTTAAATTCCTTCCTCTGGCCCTCAACTCTCCTCCGCCCTTCCTTCAGCTTAGAAACAGAATCTGTTTTAGGAGGCGCCAATCAGGCATCTGGATCATGTGACCAGTACAGTGCAGTTGCTGGTAGATGATAATAGCTTAAATGCTGGTCATGTTCGACTCTTTCAGGATACTAGTTTTCATGCACCTGTCCTCCCAAGAGATATTTAGGATTATCCTGAGGCAGCGTTGATGATATTGTTCAAGTGCCTTCAGGTAAATCTTATATGTTGTCCAAGTTTCACATGTGTACAGCAATGTTGGAACAACCACTGTGCAGTACACAAGGAGCTTTGTCATGGCACTGATATCCTGGTTCTCAAAGACCCTTCATCTCAGGCGGGCAAAAGCAGAGCTTGCACGGCTCAGGTGACACTGGATTTCTGTGTCAATGTCAGTGACTTCCAAGATATAGGAAATGCTCCACGTTTTCCAGCAGTTCTCCGTTGACTTTAATTGATGGTACATGAGTTTATCCTGTTGTCCTTGGTCTTTTTGATGTTCAGTGTGAGGCCGAGATTCTTGTACACTTCAGCAAAGGTGCTTAAGATGGTCTGAAGAGCTACGGTGTAAAGATCAGACAATATTTTCATCCACGTATTGGAGCTCCATGATTGATGTCGTTGAGGTCTTGCTTTTGGCCTTCAATCTCCTTCATTATTTATACACAGCAGAACAGCTTGACCAGGAGAGATTGAAAGAAACCCATCCCAGAAGATCCCATAGCCCAGTGGCTAGGGCACCATTCTACAATGTGGGAAACCAAAGTGTACACCCCCTCTCCCTGTCCAGCCTAGAGTTGAACCCATGGTTCTCTAGCCTTTGCACCTTGAGTGAGTACCCTAACCTGTGGGATGTCCGGTAGGTGCACATATAAGCCTACTTTGTGTATGGTGTCTACATTACACCCTCCTTGACTCCCAAATTTTATTTGGTTGCTTTGTGCCAAATTTCAAATAGATTTGGGTGATCAAAACTGAATTTTCCAGTGAATAAACTGTTTGAAAAAAATCATCAAGTTCTATTTGTGGGGACCCACGAAGAGCTAGAGCCTGGAAGGTTTAATGATTGTAATGCCTACAACATTGGCTTCTGAGTACATAGTACACCCAAATCACTACTAAACATCTTCTGGTCTGGTATACCCTAGCATTCACAGCACTTTTCAGCAGGTTAGGTATACTGTAGTTGAGTGTCCTTTCAAATGATAAAGCTGATTTCTCACTACAAAAAAGAAAATTCAAGTACATTAAAGAAACATACATTTAAAACTAATAGAATAAAATAGTTAACCTGTGTAATTCACTTACATAGGAGTTTTTTGGACAAGTACTAAGAATAGACAGAAAAAAAAAGAGTGGACACATACATGACTGGTTAAACAGTTGTTGCCATTCAAGCTAGGCAGTTTCAGGGCATGAGTTACTAAGAATTTTTTCCCTACTTCATTTCTCTCACTGGCTAGTGACAGAAGTTAGATACCAGACTAGATGGACCCAAAGGCTGATCAAGTAGGAAATCCACCCCTCCTATGAACAGAGTCGTAACCAGCTAATTTGGCTCCTGAGGCTAGACCATCCTTGTTGTGGGTGGGAGTGCTGATGTGGTGCGAGGCACGTAGCTGTCTTTTCTGCTCCCCCTCAGCTATGCGCCCAAGGCAAGTGCCTCATTCGCCTTGCCCTTGTTAAGGCCCTGCCTATGAAAAAGACTATGACAAACCAGGTGAATGAGATTACAGGTAAACTTAGAAGTGACAAGCTGGTTGGTATTTTGCAATTCCTCATGCCATTAGATCTCAGATGCTTACGGTTTCTCCCTTTTGTCCTTTATGTCCGGCAGCCTCAGGTAACTGTAGTTGTCCTGCATCACCCTGTGAAAAATTGCAAGTGAAACAATATAATAAATATAATATACAATATTTTAATAAATGCATTATGCAGAAACCATAACTTTGCAATATTAGATCCTATGTTATGTGATTTTGAATATAAATGCAAATATTCTAATTTAGCATCAAGGAGAGGGTAAGATAAAATATGTGTTAGATCAAAGTTATGCGGTAGTAGAATGTATACTTCTCCATGCGGGAGATATTTGTATTCCATTCAAAGGGAGTTCTACATCTATAGAGAGAAAAATATCTATGTTAAGTACTACTGTAGAGATCTGAGAATTTTGTCTTAAATCACTGGAAAGAATGTTATTTTTATGATTATTATAACGATATATTTCTGTGTGATTGACAATGTCAGCAAGCAGATTTGATTTAAAAACTTGAGTGACCCTATGTTTATGTACCTTGAAGTTATGAGAAGACACAAATTAAAGGCCAAATTATGTGCTCACTTAAAACCACTGAAAACATACTTAAGTCAATGGAACTACATATGGCATGGGCACAGAAGATGCTGTGACTATCTAGAGAAATAGGAAGAGATGAGAGGTTATTAAATTATAATGGATCTTTTCTAATATGAACAAGCAATTCAAGAAATATTCATTTTAGTTTTGAGCAGCATGAAGACAATGATAAAGAAAAAGATGAATTAGTGACACTACATTCTCACTGTTCCTTAGAATAAACAAATTACGGCAATTTGGCTTCAAATTTTATTTTTATTGTACTATATTTATCCATTCACTCTAGGCCTGAAATATGGAAGACATGGTAAAAAAATGAAATAGGTATGTGTAGCCAAGGCAATGTACCTTACTAGCTAGCTGGGTGACCTCAAGTAAATTAGCTGTCTGTACCTCGGCTTCTCCATGTTTAAAATGGGGATAATGATATAAAGTGTTTGGAGATCTACTAATAACAAGAGCTACATATATATTTTTATTAATAATAAAGGAGATAAAATAAACTTCACTTAATAGTCCTAATGATTTTATAGTGAAAAATGTTTATATTTTGATGGCTTTTTGTTCAATTTCAGGAGTATTTCAGTACTTAATGTACACGAGTCAATACCTGCTTGCTGGTTACTAACTAATATTGGGATAGCTGCAGAAGTGAATGACAGCTCAGTTGGTGAAGAGAACAAACCAGAGGCAAATAGCTACTACACTGAAGCTGTCTATAGATCTAGATAGTTTTTGTTTGTATTGAGATATGCCTTGAATTTATATTTACGGAAAAATGTAAAACAATCTTTGGGAAAAAGATAATATTAGATCTACCAGCTGTATTTTATATGAATATCCACATATAAAACATTCTCTGTTACTATTTTAAGAAGCAGGAAAAATATTTTGAAGAAGAAAACAGGATAGAAAGTAACTGTAGATAATTCAAGAATTAAAGCAAACTTTGAAAACATTTGCTAAAACAATTTATGTATATTCTTTCACTCACTTTCCACTGTGTTTTACATTTTTACCTTCCAATGCCTGTGACCTGATTGAGACCCACAGAGCTGATGACGTCTGGAAGAAGATTTGATTTTAAAACTGAAGTGACCCTATGTTTATGTACCTTGAAATTATGAGAAGCCACAAATTAAAGTCAGAAGAACTACATGTGGTCAGAAGAACTACATAATCAGCAGATTATGTCCTGACTATCTGGAGAAATAGGTAGAGATGAGTGGTTATTAAATTATGATTAATCTTCGTCATTTCCACTTCCTATTTTTTGTCTTATGGGAACCATAGCATTCATCATGATTCCTAGAAATGCCACTTTAAATAAACCATGAAAATATCACTAGGAAAGACTAATACTGAAGACATCACAAGAGTTTCCCTATATGGAAAACCATTCAAAAAAATCTTCAGTGAGAACTTGAGAGAGCCTTGGAAGGCTGCAGAAAATCAAGGAAATTGGCATTCTATTGTTACCCATACTGAAGGGACTCTCATAACGCATAGACTATCACAGAAACTATTATCTTGCATTTATATAAAGATTCTCATCTTACAGGTATTTTACAATTGATAAACTATCAGTAAAGGGATCTGGTACCTCACAGCAGGATTACCCAGTCTGGATTCTCCACATTATACAGGCAGTCCCCGGGTTACGTACAAGATAGGGACTGTAGGTTTGTTCTTAAGTTGAATTTGTATGTAAGTCGGAACTGGCGTCCAGATTCAGCCGCT